GGGTTATTCAGCTCCACTTGAGCAGTGATGCTGCTCTCAGCCACTCCCACTGACCACAGTCCTATTCCAACCTGATTTTCTCATCCCCACCACCTTCCTGATGGCACCACAGCCTGGAGTGTCCGGTGGGGTCGTGGCTGCCCAGTGCCCCCAGGGCACACTCACATCAAAGAAGGCTTTCTCATCCACTGTCTTGGGGGCCCCCATGGTGGGGGTCCCCGGGGTGATGGACTCCACCTCGGCCAGGTCGATGACCCCTTTGCACTCCGTGTCCATCCGGCTGTCGTAGTACCGGAGCTGTGGGAGAGAGGATGCGCCTGTCAGGGTTTGGGATGGGAGGGATGGATGGGATGGAGGGACAGGACAGACCCCGGGGCCCCCCCGTCCCCCAGTACCTGATGTTTGGTTTTATCCAGCACGAACCAGCGAGGCTTCCACGGCTTCATGAAGGCGCCTTTCTTGTACAGGGAGCCCTCGTAGGACCTGTGGGTGGGAAGGAGCCCCGGGAACAGGGATCAGGGACGGGAACCCACGGAGAGCTGTGCCCTACAGCACTTCACCCCCCAGGGAGGGGTCCCCCCAGCCCCCCGAGCCCCCCTGCCTGTTCTCGCTCTCGGAGGTCTGGAACTGGCTGTAGAGGGTGGAGGTGCTGCGGCGCCCGCCCGGCTTCCCGCTGGACGGGGTGGAGGTGCTGCTGGTGTCGCTGTCCAGGCTGAGGTTGAGGGTGGAGCCCACCCCGCTCTCCTGCAGGTACACGCCCAGCGAGCGCCGGTGGTGGGACAGCCCCGAGGACATCAGGAGGGAGCTGGGGGTCTGCAACAGAGGGAACGGCGTGACGGGGAGGGGGCCATGACCCCCGGGAGCCCCAGCGTGGGGCTGAGCACCAGCACCCAAACCAGCACCCAGAACAGCACCAGCACCCAAACCAGCACCCAGAACAGCACCCAGAACAGCACCAGCACCCAAACCAGCACCAGCATCCAGCACCAGCACCCAGAACCAGAACCCAGCACTGAGTACCCAGCACAGAGACCCCTCCCTGGCCCTGGGGTTCGGGAGCAAACAGTCCTTTGCTCAGGGCACCTGTGGGTAAAGCCACTCCTATTCTCCAGCCCATGCCAGAGCCCTGTCACACCCTCTGTCACACCCCTCAGTACAGCCTCTGTCACAGCCCTGTCACA